AAAAAAAAAAAAAAAAAGTCCAAAAATTAACAATGGCACCTCTGCTTTGTAAGGATTAGGGGATTAATTTCTTTTTACTATATTTTCAAGTCTGTTCATAATGAAACAAGTAGAGTGCAACGTAAGAAAAGGAAAGAAAAAAAACTTTACAAATTTTCTAATTCTCTGTGATTCTTTGAAGTCTGAGGCCTAAAAAAGATCTTTGGTCTCACTGTAGCTTGTATGAAAGGCCAAAATTGAAGGCAGTGGTTTCTATGGCTACAGAAGGGTCTCTTTGAATTATCTTGTTTTACATAGACTGGAGCTCATGGGCCAGGTTTGGTCCAGACATCCTCAGACTCCACTTTCCCTAGAGAGCAAAATTAGCCCCTAAATTGACATTGCCTCCCCCGTCACCAAACATCAGCTCAGTGAAGGCATTCCATATAAAAACTAGCTCAGCAGACTGAGGGTGAAAGGGTGAAGACGGCACTTTCCACACAAGTGTAACTCCACTGGCACAATGGAGTTCCTGACTTATTTTTCTTTTGTGTTCGTTTTTTCATCTCTTGTCATACTTAAAATGCTAGAGACCGAAGTGATTAATGGTGACGTTTTAGGTTTTGTAGATTGGACTGACATCTGGAATATTCTAATCTAGATAACTGGTCATTTAAAAATGATTCATACATGACAGTCTTGCAGCTGTCATTGTTCTGTAAGATAGCACGTGGGGGGAAAGGTCACTGACAAGAAAAAGCACGAGCCTGAGTTATGAAATATACCCGCTCTGGTCCCGTGACTAATCAGCTGCATGAATTTGGGGAAACCATTTTGCTTCTTTGGGCCATAGTCCCAAAGAAGCAAAGTCATGTCTAAAAATGGAGAATAAATTAGCCATTGTGTGTGGTCACTACACCTCTCAGACTGTCTGCCCCTGCCTTCCGATGGGGATCGTGTGATGGGCCACAGACTGGCCCTGTGGAGAATCAGCAGTGCCTGCCCACTTATGGGGGGCGTCAGCTGTTCCACCTGAGGGCCACGCTAGACTTTGATTGAGAGTCCTCTGGTCCTTGACCGGGGTCTTGAATAGGGCTGCTCTCTTTCCTTCCTGGAACGGGGCTGGAGGCAAAATCTCCTCCTCTGAGCTGTTCTACGGAGATGGGAAGGGTTCTCTCCAAGTCTACTTTCTCTTGCATTTGTCTGGCTCTGAGGTAGCCTTTGGGCCCTGCTCACTCAGTGTCCAAACCTCTCTAAACATGTGGTCATTTCCTTCCCAAGGAACTTGGACATCATTGTCTCATTTCCTGGAGAAGAAAGTTTGCGTGGCTTTATCCTGGTGACTGTTTTGGTGGAGAAAGCAGCGGTACCTGGGATTAAGGTAGTTTCTTCCTAGCAATTTTTTTCGGTCCTAAATGAGAAACTGGTCTGAGCTTTACTTCCCACCAAGTCCCTTTCCCTGCAGAGTACTAATAAATAGGCATGAGTATCAGCCTTGCCCTACTTGGCTTATGTCTGGGGCAAGAGGTGTGTGCCCTAGCCCACAGAGATATTTCCCTTTCCTCAGCTACTGCAACACTTGCAATAACCATTCATCCATTTAACAGACATGCCTTGTTCTGAGTAATGTATGTCTGGGAGAACAAGACAGACACTGTTCTGGAATCCATCGAAGCTCACTATCCAGTGGAGGAAGATGGACTGATGTACAGGGTAACAAGAAAGAAAGAAAAAAAAAACGTTTTTCATGAGAAGACATCTAAAACCTAATCCAGACTTGCAGGGCCAGGCAAAGGGAAATGGCAGCTGAAGTTAAAATCTGAGTGATGTATGGGAATTAAGGAGGAAGTGGGAAGGGAGGTGGGTGGGTATTCCTGGCAGAGAGAACTTTTATCAAGACCCCATCAATAACATGAGATAAATCCAGAAGAAGGAACAAAATTGATAGAGTTATGCCCTTGAGAGGTACAAGAAGTAGCAGCCAAGGGGAAAGAGTGAGAAACGCTTCCCTAGTGATCTATCTGAAGGGTGCCTCAAACGATTCTGGCTCTCAGGAAGACCTCACAGCATATAGAAGACCCCTGGCGAGGCCTGCCTAAAACAGTCCAGCAGTCAGATGGGTCCCCTTTTTCTAGATTCCCTACAGCTTTGCTGCTCATGCCACCTCAGTGGACTGAATATTAATGAATTGAGTGAATGAATCTCCTTTTCAGGCACTTGTTCAGGCAGTGAATGCCATCTTGCAGCCCAGCCGGAACTCCTTGCTTCAAGCCCTGCAGCGACTGAGACTCTCCATTCAGGATATGACCAGAACTTTAGGACAAATGCACGGTATGAGGCTCCTGAAGGCTGAGGACTTTGCTTGGGGAAGACACATAATGTCGATGGTGCATTAGCTTTGTTTTAAGGCGACCAAATGCTGTTCATGCTACTGAAAAGTGATCTCTCAGTTTGCAATGATTTTTCTCATGGTTGTATCGTTCTTCGTTTCTCTTGTGATTCAGTGCTTTCCTCTTCTGGTTGGCCACGTATTTCTTTGCATGTAGAGGTCTTACGGGAATGACACTGGGGTGGAAAGGGCAGAGCACATGACATTGGTGGTATAAGCTCTATCCAGCAATGTTAGGTTACTGCAGGACAGAACTGGATATGAGGGAGTTTGTCCTTACACTCTCTAAAGCCTCTCTCATTGTTTGTTCTCAAATGGAAGCTGAGATGACTGACCCCTTATCTGAGGGGCCGTCCAGTGCTCCTCCTCTGTGGCTAGTTTAAAGAGGAATTGTAATAGGTGTGGCCAGTTAATCTTATCCTGAGGACCACAGCTCTTCAACTTCCTTTATCTGAAGAATGTAGAAAATGTAACTGTTGTGTGTTTGAAGAAGGTGTGGGAGAAGGGTGTGATTTGTTTAACAAGGGATGAGGATCAGTTTCCCTGGATCCTGCTTCACTGCGAGGTAGAGGAGTCCAGGAAAGGAGAGGTTTACGGGAAACAGAACAGGATGGAGGGAGGGTAAGAAGGAGGACACCAGCTTTATTACCTTTTATTAAGGGAATAAATTTATTTGCATCTTAGACTCTCTGCACTGGTGTAAGTCTGTCAGAAGTCACAGGGCTATGTATTACTTTCATTCCATATCGTGTTTTATATTTCAGATCCACACTTCCTCCATTTCCCTGAATTTTATTTTAGTTTATTTAAAAAATTTTTTAATGTTTTATTTATTTCTGAGAGAGAGAGAGAGACAGCGTGAGCAGGGGAGGGTCAGAGAGAGAGGGAGACACAGAATCTGAAACAGGCTCCAGGCTCTGCGCTGTCAGCGTAGACCCTGATGCGGTGCTCAAACCCAGGAATCGTGAGATCATGACCTGAGCCGAAGTCGAAGTCGGACGCTTAACCGACTGAGCCACCCAGGCACCCCCGTTTCCCTGAATTTTAATTGTAAAGCCCTCCTGATCACATCTGTAAGTCTTCTGTCAAACAATCTCTAAAGTGAGTGACATGGATTTTAACCTTAACAAGGTACCCTGAGTTTATTACACAGGATATGAAGACCAGGGAAAGTACACTGCGGGGTGCATTCAGATCATATTGATGAGGGAGCATAAGGCAAGCTGACACCCTACAAACAACCCCCCACCCCCTACCCCAGGTGGGTTATGTGTGATATTTCTCAGGCACTCCTGCCTGCTCAAGAACAAAGGAAAGGGGAAAACAGTTAACTGATAGAGATCACAGCCATGCAGGACAAGAATCTCCATCAGTTTACAAATGTCTTAGTAAATTACAGGAAAAAGGCAATCTTATCAATGGGCTGATTTCCAGAAACCTGTGGACTCAGTTTCCTGGAGTCCTAATATCACTCTCCCCTCCTTAGTGATGTGGGAACAAAGGGAAGAAGGAAATGGCAGGTAAAATTAAGTTTCCTTATAACCTGCAGCCCATTGACACATACTTGAGGCAAATATAGGAGAACATTTCTCCAGGAACCCCCTTCTGTCATAACATTAATGTCTTACTGGAGGGAAAACAACCTGAGCTTCACACTAGCAAGGCCTCAGGTAACTTGGGAGTCCTCTTTAGCATATCAAAGTCCTTCTGGAGGCCTCCCTTTCTCCTTTACCTCCCCCAACTCCGTAGAACGTAACCAGTCACTCTGCACAACCCCAGTGCCGCATTTCCTGCCCAAGGATCCTGTCCCTGTGCTTTAATAAAATCACCTTTTTGCACCAAAGACATCTCAAGAATTCCTTCTTGGCAGTCATCTCTGGACCCCCGTCATCCCCAAACCCCAACCATATGAAAGAACAGAAGTGAGTAGTCTGGAAGTTCATGAGAACGATTCTAGATTCCCACCTTCAAACCATTGTCAGTCTTCAAGTCACCCACCTGAGGACCCAAATACTGTGATGCGCAGACAAGCCTTCCCCTGTGTCCTGTCCAATTTCCAGCCCACAGAATCCATGAGCATACTATACTGGTTGTTTCATGCCCCTGACCTTGGAGTGATGTGTTATGCAGCCACAGTAAACAGAAAAATGAAATGATAAAAATGACAAATACTGGAAACTGCAAAGGTTTTTTTAAGCTTTTTTTTTTTTTTTTTGAGTTTTATTTATTTGAGAGAGAGTGAGCGAGCACATACAGGTTGGGGAGGGGTAGCGGGAAGGAGAGACAGAATCCCAAGCAGGCTCTGAGCTGTCAGCACAGAGCCTGATCTGGAGTTTGAACCCATGAACTGTGAGATCAGCACCTGAGACTGAGTCGGATGCTTAACCGATTGCACCACTCAGGTACCCCTGCAAACTGCAGGGTTTAAGGAATCACATAAGTTGTGTCACTGTGTCTGGTTTGTAGTTGATGACTTTTTTTTCCTGCATGATCTTGAGAGCTCAGCAGCACTTCCCCCCTCTGCTTTCTCTCCCCAAATGGAGCTCAACAAAATTGTTTTTCTTTCTGAGCTCAGCTTTGGCAAGAGTTGGGTTCTCTACTCCCTTCCTCCATAATTACTTCATTTCTAGGCAGGACAGCCTGAAAACATGCCCAAGGCAGACGAGAAGGTACCCTTTTTCTCTGTAAAAAAATGTTTAACCTTTTGTTTATTTTTGAGAGACAGAGACAGAGCACGAGTAGGGGGAGGCGCAGAGAGAGAGGGAGACACAATTCGAAACGGTCTCCAGGCTCTGAGCTGTCAGCACAGAGACCAATACAAGGCTTGAGCCCACCAACCGTGAGATCATGACCTAAGCCGAAGCCAGATGCTTAACTGACTGAGGCACTCAGGCTTCCCAGAAGGTACTCTTTATTTTAAGGCTGCAATTTGTATTTCTGAGGACGCCCATGGTATCCCTGGGGCTTTGCCCAGCCCATACGTGACTCCCACCTCACAACCTTGATATAGTCCTCAGCGTGGACAGAAGAATAAACCAGTCTACTGTCTTCATAGCACTACTCCTTCCCAGCACTAGACTTCTAGACTATACCCACCATCCACCATACATCTTGCTGCGTGCGTCAGGGCCGTGCACCTGAAAGATCCGTGTCTAGTTCCCCTTTTCTGGGTGATTTGCAGAGAGCTTAACCAGGCCTGAGCATTGTGCTCTGTTGGAAGGCTAAAATATGTTAGGATTCCCAAGCATCCAGATTACACACGCATGTCTTTTGGCATTCTGAATAGCTCTTGTTTCTAAGAATTAATTCCTCCTTAGAAAAGCTGAGGGGAAAATTTCTCTCCAAAATGCCACTGAAAGTTTTGCCTTGTATTTCCTTCTGAATCAACACAATTTCCAGCTTCTCCTTGATGGATTGGTGGCTGTAAGAATTTTTCTTTTAATGGTAGCAAGGAGTCAAAATGTTTCCTTCTAAGAGTTTGGCATGTGTTAAAGTCAGGTTTCTTACTCGGTGAGTTGGTAATGATAGTGTGAACGGCTGCTACCCTCTCCAGACTGGCTCAGTTTTGTTGAAGGAATTGTTTTTCATTAATTTGTACACTTGCTTTGTCTAAAACTAATTGGAAACAAAATTATTGTTTCAATTTTTATTTATCTTAAATTGAAGCTTAAAAGTGGCATGCAATTAAGACATTCATAGATTTGTTAAAAGCATTTTTGACATTGTATAAAAGAATATTTGGTAAAGGTTTTGTTTTTGTTTTTGTTTTTTTTTTTTTGGGTGACTAATCAGTTTTTACTCATTTATAATGAGTAAGAGAGACTGTCTAGATATTGGGGCAGCTCTATGATTTGGGTCTCTAAACTGTAATACTTGAATTCAGTACCCTAGATTTACGTTAAGGTGTTAGTATTTTCTTGACGAAAGTCATTCCCCTTACCTTCACAGCCTACTGGTATTTCTGTTAATGATTTCTGGATCTTGCGCTCCCTCTGCAGACTGAAGAAGGTATTGCAGTCAGAACTGTGTACTGAATGCCAAGGCTCTGGTAGCGATAAGTTATCCTTAACTTTTGAAAATAATAATTATAATAAAATAAAACAAAATGGAAAATAATTAACACTGGAATTCCTCTTTGCTAAATGCCATAGGATAATAACGACTATGTTAATATTTCTAAAGTTGTCTTCATGCGTGGATTACTTACCCGTAGTAATCTGAGTATAGCCTAGTCATGTGAGCCGCCATATTTTACCTTGAATCTAATTGTATCATGTCAGTGTATCAAATCCAGAAGCATGCCCACACAAAATCAGTTACCAAAATATTGAAGAGCCCATGAGTCTTCACAAAAGATGTTTTCAGGCTTACAAGGAAGAACATACATTGCCTATCACACATCAAAAATACCCAGAAATCTACCGTGATTATTATTGTTGCATATGGTTAAATTCACTCAGATTTGCTTACATATTATAACCTTCTTTTTTGCCCTTCACTCCTTTACACACGTTTCCTTTGCTACTAGGATTTCCTCTAGTGATGACCTGTTGCTGGCCAACTCTCTCATCTGAAAATTGCCCTGATTCATTCCAATTCCTAAAGAATATTTTTGCTAGCAAATATATTATTTTAGATGTTGATTAAATCAGTACAATACCTTTTGGTTTCCATTGTCACTACTAAGAAGTTAGACGTCAGGGCAACGTTATCTCTTTCCCCTCTGCTTGTGAGTTTCTCTTTATCAGTCTGTCCTGTTCTGTTTGTTATGGGTGGGTTTCATTATACTTCTTTAATTGATGTGACTTATCATTCTGGAAAGTCCTTAGCCATCAAATCCTCACAAATTGTGCCTCACTCTCTTTCTGTTTTCCTTTTTCAACTTTAATTGGGAATGTTAGACCTTGCTCCACTATCCTCCATTCTCTTGCTGTTTTTCCCC